ATTTTTCTTCTGATTAATTCCTGGATGAGGTCTGAAGACTCAGGTCATTGCAGTGAATGGTTAAATGAGGCAGGTACATGGTGCATATCACTCTTCTTCAAAAGTCTGGGAGGGGAGTGTGTGTGTGTGTGTGTGTGTGTGTGTGTGTGTGTGTCTGTGTACCAGGAAGTAGGTTCAGAAAACAAATTCTCAAGAAGAATCCCAAAACTGAAAGTGTGTGGTTTGGGGGGCCCAAGAAGTTTCAAATTTGAGGAGAGGGTGTGAATGGCTACAAGTGAGCTGGGAGGAAAACTTACTAATTTTTCAATCTAAGAAGCCTAATTCACATGAATGATTTCTCCCGGAGTAAGACCTTTCCAGATCTGTTGGTGCTATTGAGCTGGTATTTCAAGTATGTCCATCTGCATTTAAACGAATTGCTCCAAGACAATCTGATTATGCGGTAGTTACTTTGGTGAGAATAGCGCCTCAGTGGAATGGAAACTTCATTTTGAGTCTAATATTAGACCTTGCTTTGGAAAATTCCTTTTAAATGATCACAAGCTGGGAATAGCAAAAGAATTTAACTTTCGACAGACAGCATTTACCAAGAATTTTTAACTGCTTATGTTGGGTCCCTGGGAAGGCAGATGTGAGAAACCTACTGGACCAAATTGACTAGATGAGAGTTGACTTGACCTGGTGCAGGGTTTATATCTGTTGCTGATAAGTTTCCCTCTGAGTCTCCTTTGCTCAAAATATTTTCATTCTTAGAGTGTGAGCAAGCTAGGGATGAAAATTGCTAGGATGCCGGACACGGATGGCCTAACAGTCCAGTTTCTAGGCCAGCAGACTGTGCTTGTCTGTACAGAGGTCTGAGGCAGGGCAGAAACGTAGACCACTGAGGAAAGAAAGTACAAACCAACCCATAAGCAAAGCTGGTGCCTAAGTCTGGGTTAGGAACATGATCAGACCTGGCCTTCCTTTAGAGAGTAATTCTAGTTTGTTTGACTGGTTGTGTCTGCATGAATTTACTCACCTCAGAAGGGTTCATTGAGCTTTAGTGAAGCACCGCCCTCTGTCATTTAAAAAGTAATTGTGAAGTTTCCAGATCATGTCTGCATTGGCTTAAGCTAAGGATATGTTTTATGTGCCATGGATGGATTAAACCAAATTTGTGTTTGAGAAATGTGTTTTACTATTTTATTTTAAAAGATTTTTCTGAAATTGAAATGCCTCTTCTCATCAACAAACTCTGCTTGTTTAATGTGGTGGGTTTCCCCTCCTATATCTAATCTGGTAATAAGTGTATGGTGTCTTACAATTGGGAAAAACATGTACAAAATAAGAGTTACCAGGACTGGGGTTGTAGCTCTGTGGTAGATCACTTGCCTTGCATACAGGAGACACTGGTTCAAAACTCAGCATCACATAAAAATAAATAAAGATATTGTGTCCATCTACAACTAAAAATATATTTTAAAAAAATAAGAGTTACCACTTATTGATGGCTCCATGATTGACTCCAGGAACAACTTTGCTGGTTAACAACGTTATCTCTGATCTTCACAACAGCCCTGTGCCGTGGCAGTTAGCATGAGCCTGTTTCAAAGAAGCTTAGAAATGTGTCATAGGGGGGGGGGGGCTGGGGTTGTGGCTCAGCGGTAGTGCGCCTGCCTAGCATGTGTGAGGCACTGGGTTCGATTCTCAGCACCACACACAAATAAGTAAAAATAAAAGTCCATCAACAACTAAAAAATATTTTAAAAAATAAGTTAAAAAAAATAAAGAAATGTTCCATAGTTTGCTTGTGGTCATCTGGCTAGTGATGGCTAATGAGTGGAGTTCAAACTCAAGGCTTATTAAACTCGGGAGCTCATGTTCTTCCCTTGCCCTCTGTCATCCTCTGGTGCAACAATTCTTAAACTTTGTTGTCTTAGAATCCTTTTAAGCTCTTAAAAATTATTAAGAACCCTTGAACTTTTGTTCATGTTGATTATATCTTTTGATATTTATGGCACTTGAAATAAAATGGAAATTTAAAACATTAACTTATTAACTTTTTATGGGGTTTAAGGATGGAACCCAGGAACTCACATGTGCTAGGCAGGTGCTCTACTGTTGAGCTCGTCCCCCATCATTAACTCATTTTAAAGGACATGAATCTATTGAATGTTGACATAACTAACATTTTTATTAAAAATAATCATATTCTCCAAAACAAAAAGAGTAAGAAGCATGTCCATGTTTACCTTTTTTGCATGTGTTATCTAGCTAAACCGAAGGCAGCTGGGTTCTCATAACCTTCCACATTTAGCCTGTGCAATATTGTGTTTAGTTGAAATATATGAAGAAAATTTGACTTCACACAGGTATATATTTGGGAAAGATATGTGTTTTAAGTGCCTTTTTGGATAGTTATAGCTACTCTCCTTTGAGTTCATCAAAATTCCAAAAGTGCTAGTTCCTTAAAAGGTATATGCATACCTTTTGGGAAAAACATGTACAAAATAAGAGTTACCAGGAGCAGGGAAGCCTGTGTGCAATCCCAGAGGCTCAGGAGGCTGGGGGGTTGGGCGGGGTGCAGAATCGCAAGTTCCAGGCCAGCCTCAGCAAGGCGACACATTAAGCAACTCAGTGAGTCCTGTCTCTAAATAAAACACAAAATAGGGCTGGGGATGTGGCTCAGTGGTTGAGTGCCCATGAGTTCAATCCCCTGTACCTGCCCTCACCCCTCAAAAAAAAGGTAATTGCATTATAGAATCTAAAATCAAAACAATGGACTTTCAATACTCTGTCCCATTAAAATTCTTTGGCTGAAATATTCTTTTCACAAGATTGTGTGTGGATACACTCCTCTCCAAATAATAATATATGTAGATACCCCCCTACTCCAGGAAGTAGAGGTCAATTACTCTTCCTCACCCCTCCCTTGAGGGACAGATTTGACTTAGTGACTTGTTTCTAAAAATAGAATTAGAGCAAATGAGTGACTTTATCATGAGGAAACCTGGGAAGCACTACTTTAACCAAATGATGAAGGAGAACATCATCAACCATGTCATGAGAGTATCTGGTAACCCCTTCTGTGATGGAGTGACACAATCTAATCTAATCATGAGAAAAACATCAGACAAACCTGAGACCCAACCAGAACTTCTTAAGATTGTTAATATCAGCTGGGAGTGGTGGTGCACAGGTATAATCCCAGTGACTCAGGAGACTGATGCAAGTTCAAGGCCAGTCTCAGCAATTTAGCAAGACCCTGTATCAAAAATGAAAAGGTCCAGGGATGTGGCTCAGTGGCAAATGGTCCCTGGGTTCAGTCCCCCAGTACCCTACCTCTCCACACTCACACACACACACACACACACACACACACACACACGATTGTCAATGTTATAAAAAACAAGGGAAGATTGAGAAGCTGTCATAGACCAGATGAAACTGGGAGCCATGACAACTAGATGCAACCCAGTACTCTGGACTGGACAATGAAACAGAGAAAAAACATTTTTTGGAAAAAAGTAAAATCCAAATAGAGTCTGGAGTTAATTTAATAGCAACATGTCAATGTCAAATTTTTTAAATAGTTAATGGCTAAAATACAGTGACAAATAGTTAATGGCTTATACAAGATGTAACAGTAGAGAAACTGGGTGAAAAGTCCATAGGAACTCTCTCCTACCCTTGCAACTTTTCTGCAAATCTAAAATTATTTCTTTTTTTTTAAAAAGTCCCATTGTTCTGTCTTGCACTTGGAACAGATCATTTATCTAAGTGTGATTTTGTAATATCATTGTCATAGTCACGAAAAATACTGGTTCACTGAGTTATGCAGCTTTTCAAACTGTTCACACATATGCATTATTCAGTATTTTAAAAGTTGCATTCATTAATATCATCACCTGTCCCATTTAAAAAAAAAATCTTCACTGAGAAGCTGCCAAGCTTCCTAGTGGTGGATATGAGTCTCCCAAAATTCTGTTTTTTTGTTGAAATCTCAGTTTTTAATCACTGACAGCAAGCACTGCCCATGACTTTCCTTGATGTGACATGATCATTTTATTCATTTTTGCAAAAATGTCTCCCAAATACACCTAAATAACCATAATTTGTCTGACAGTCATTCTTTTAAGTAAAAATGGCATTCGATAAAAAAAGTGACTTGGGCTGAGGGGTTAGCTCAGTGGTAGACCACTTGCCTGGCATGAGCAAGGCCCTGGGTTCCATCCCCAGCACTAAAAAAAAAAAAAAAAAAAGAAAAGAAAATTGTGGCCGGTTCTGCTGGCAGCAGTCACACAGATGCTGTCCCTCAAAGCAGGTATTATACTTCAGAATGTAGCAGAATGTTTATGATTCTTCCCATTTTGTCAAGTAGAAATATTAAAAGAGGTGTACTCAGGGTCAAGATCTAATGGAGTAAATATGTGTATTGCTTTATTTAGAACATTCTTAAGAGAAATGAACTCTTTGTCCTCTTGAAGCATATTGTGGTGAGTAGTTTTCACTTGTGCCGGGGACTCCCGTGGCTTGGCTCTGGGCTAAGCAAGGTGCCTCTGTGCCATTGATTCAAGTATAAAAAGAGGGGAAAAGGCCTATGACATTTTAATATTCTTAGGAAAATAGTTTGACCTCATCAACCTCCAAAGGGTCTTGAGGACCCTTTAGGAGGTCCACAGACCACACTTAGAGACAACTGCTGTGTTCGAGTGACAGTTTGTAAGATTTTCCAGAGGAGGAGCTGCCAGCGCTGAAGACACATCCCTGAGTGAGCAGAGGACTGTGTCGCAGGACTGTGTGTGCAAAACCGGTCCCATCTTAATGTTTTCAGTGATTCGGGAAGCTTTTCCATTTGTTTCCACACCAATTTCAAGTACAGAAATACAGACTTTGATAATTTGGTATGACATTTTTGCTGCAAAAGATTTGCTACCATTTTTACAATAATCACATATAAGATGTCATTCAGGGAATCTCAAAAATCAGCCCTTCAACTTTTTCTTTTCTCTTCTCTAAAGGTAAATCTCACCTGGCTATTGTGCAGCGGGTGAACAATGAGGGAGAAGGGGATCCATTTTATGAAGTTCTGGGAATTGTCACCTTAGAAGATGTGATTGAAGAAATCATCAAATCTGAGATTCTAGATGAAACAGATTTATACAGTGAGTAGAATCATCTGAGTGTAATTTCCTAAAACCATTGCTTTTTCTGTCATGCTGTTTGTGAGTCATCTGACATTTCTTCTCCCACGTTGTCCGCCTCTGTTTATACTTAAGCATGATGTGTGTAGGCTGGGTACAACCTCTCAGTGTATTCCCATCCCTTTATCAAGGGGGAAGAAGAGACAAATTCTGTAATGATGAGTGGCAATGTTCTTTGAAAAGCCAGCTTCTCTTGACCATTAATCTGCATGTTGCTTGCCCCAAACAGGAAATTCTGCTCTTGGTTTTCAAATGTATTTTACATTGTTCTTAATTTTCATTTTATACACCTGGGCAAATTGTTTTCAAATGAATTTCAGTTTCTTCTTAAGCTTATAATTCATGTATTTCAAAAGTGAATAGGGTTTGTTAAATTGATGGGTGATAGCTGATTAGATTTCTATGTTTCAGGATCCTTGGGCTTAGATCAGAGCAGGAGGGGTAGGAAAATATTCATAACTTGTTTGTCCAGACATTGGACTTGACCCTGGGCTAAGTGTTGCACTTGCTTCCTGTCTCATTCAAGTGTACAACTGAATTGCTGGACAGAGGACATCCCATCCCACTCTTAGCAATGGGACAGTCTTCCAGGAGTCATTGCCAAAGAGGTCCTAAGGCCTAAGAGGTTGGGGGCTCTTGGGATGGGGTAGAGAGAACATCTAGCTCTATTTATTCTCTTGGCTCTGAAACGTGGCTTGGAGGGGGACATGAACTGCCCAGTGGGTTGAGGCATCATCTTCTGAAAATGCACCCATTTTTCCCTTCACATCTGTGCAGAGTTTTGGTTTTTTTCTTTTTCCTGGCCTTAACCATACATTTTATTACTTTTTAAATTTCTTCTATTTAGTTATACATGGCAGTAGAATTCATTTTGACACATCATACATAAATGACTGTATAGAGTTCTTTTTTAAATTGGTTTTTAAAAATAAATGACAGCAGAATGCATTACAATTCTTGTTATACATATAGAACACAATTTTTCATATCTCTGGTTGTATGTAAAGTATGTTAACACCAACTCGTGTCTTCATACATGTACTTTGGATAATGATGTCCGTCACATTCCACCATCCTTGATAACCTGTATAGAGTTCTTGAAAACACTTTCCCACATCTGCTTTATCCTTTTGACACTTGGAAGGTAGTCAAGGCCTCATAATAGAGAATGTTGTTATTTGCGTGTTTACATTCTTTTCATCCTGCCTTCCAATTTGCTGATGAATACCAAGTGTGTCTCTGAATGCTTATGTGTTTTCCCAGGGAACCTCTTGTCATTAGAAAGACAACTTACAGTGTTTATGAGATCTCACCTACTTTGGTTTAATAGAAATGTTAGTTGAACTTCTTTTATCTGGGATTGGACTCCTTTCCTACAGAAGTGGTCCTTCCCATTACAGTACTTGTACCCAGCATGGTACTCAGGGCTGAACTTGTGATTTCAGGTATATTGTTGATCTATAATGTCTGGTTTTCAGAAGAATTTGAGACAGAAGAAAAGCATATAAGATGCGATTGCCTTCTCCCCACGAAAAGCCTTGTAATCAGTCTGTCTAGCCCTGCGCAGGAAGTGACAATGCAGTGACTCATGGTTCTTGGAGTTGGAGCAAGAAATTAGGGTCTTGTCTTTAAGCCAGTTTTTTTTTTCCCCCTTGATCATTACTTTGTCCAGAGAAAAAAATTTAAAAAATAATTTGGCATAAAATGCCTTCTAGATTGGGGTTGGCAAGCTATAGCTCATGATTGCCTGTCACCTATTTTTGTATAGTCTGCAAGCTAAGAAGGGCTTTTCACATTTTTAAGTTGAAAGAAAAAGTAAAGAATAATTACTTTGTGATGAGGAAATTAAATGAAATTCAAATTTCTGTGTCCATAATTGAAATGTTGTTGGCATCCAGCTGTGCTCATTCATTTGCTGTACAGCAGTGTGGATCGTGTAACAGAAGCTGTATAGCCCACGGGGCCCCAGGTCTGCACTCCCTGCCCCTTTCCAGGGGAGGCTTGCTCGGCCCTGTTCTGGATCACCTTCTTCATGTTCACTTGACCTTGAGGAAATCATGGCATGTGGTAGAAGTGAAGTCAAAAGATATTAATTAAAATAGTGTTTTGTGAATGCTTTCTTGTTTCCTGAGGGGTTTTGTTTGTATGTTATTTTCTTTCTTCTGAGGCGAGGCAGCCTCTTAAGGGCAGAGACAGTGTCCCTTGTGTGTGTCCAGGTGGCAGTTCTTCACTGGAGTGTGGTGACATTGAGTCGCGGGAGGCCATGCATGCCTGTCTGCCCCGTCATGTCTGACATAAGGGCTCTCTGACGACCTTCGTGAGGTCTGATGTGGTGGCTGTGCTCCAGGCCAACTTGGTGGGACTTTGCCCCTTGCTCCTGCGTGGTGTTTGGAGCCTAGAGCCGCTCCTGCAGGGGCTGGCCTCCCGGTGTGCTTTGACTCTTCCATCTGAAAAGATCCCTGTTCTAAAAGACTGAATTTCCTTATATTCCTTCTTTTCTCATTCCTCCCTCAGCCGATAACAGAACGAAAAAGAAAGTGGCCCACCGTGAAAGAAAGCAAGATTTTTCTGCCTTTAAGCAGACAGACAGCGAGATGAAGGTTAAAATATCACCGCAGCTTCTCCTGGCCATGCACCGTTTCCTAGCAACAGGCAAGTGCGCTTATCACAGTTTGAGATCGCTGCCAGCCCTGGAGCCGTTTCTCACCAGCACTGAGTGGGGGGCTGGGGGTGGAGACTGGGAAATGGGGTGATAAGTAATGCCACTTTTGTGTTTTGTTTTTTGTTTTTTTTTTGTTTTTTTGTTTTGTTTTGTTTTTTTCTCTTTAAATTCTCTCCTCTCCTGTGTTCAGTGTCGGCATGAACCCTCTGAGACATTTACCAGGGGTGGACCAGTAACTTAAAATTGGTCTGAAAGGTAAGGATGAATGTCAGTGCCACACTGCATGTGTTCAGTAGGCCAGGCCATCTCCTTCCAGCTAAGTCCATGGGCCAGCCAGCTGGCGGAGTAGGCTGACAGTGCAAACCAGACACAGCTCGTTTGATTGGACAGTTGAGTAATTCTCTCTTCAGCTTGCCTTGGAAGAACAGTTGGACATCAGTGGTAACCCAGGTGCTATGATTTGCAAAGAAGAAACATAGGTTCTCAGACTTAAATCTCTATCTTTTATGGTTTTGATGAAATCAGAAATTCTAAGGACTTTGACATGGATTTCTTGGTGGCCTCTTCAAATCAGATTGTTAACTTGGGCCCATTCCAGGAGGCAAGTGTTCACATTATTAAAGCCACCAACCCAGCCGGCACTGACTGCTCCCGAGAGGTCAAGGTTGAATGGACTTAAGAGACTGACTAATCCTCTCACATCCCCACATGGCTCCCTAGGTGAAGGGTGAGCTCTGTTGGCCAGGGGAAGTGTGAGAAAATGTGAAAGTACCCAGAGGCTTGTAGAAGACGTCTGTTTCCAAGATGGGCAGCCAGTACCTTTCAACTACATGCAGTATACTTAAAATATTTTGAAAAGAAGGCCAACAACAACCACGTGGCGGAATGCTACCTACGCTTTCAGATACATGGAAGTGCTCACAGTCTCATTTATGACATGGGAAGGTGTCCATGACTTTAATGTAAAGAGGGAAAAAACAGGACCTAAAGCTATGTGTACATTAAGATCACAGTTGTGTTTCTGTGGTACACAGACACGCGTACACAGGCATACATGCCTAGGCAAAGCACTGGAAAGAAATACTCACCAAATTGCTCTGAATGGTTATCGAAGTAGTTGGCTTATAGATAATTTTTATTTTCTTCTCTTTTTCTCTATTTTCCAAATTTTCTGCTATGTATTTTTTATTACCAAAAAGTCACAGAAGTGAATACAGAATTTATAGCTCATATATAGCGTCTAATTTTAAAAAAATAAAAATAAAACAATATCTTTAACTTGCTTATTATTCTTCTTCTAATTCCGATAATATTGTCCTCATCATTTAAGAACCACACGTTAAAGCTGAATGTTATCCTACTCTGCCTCTGAGAAACCATAAAGTCCAGTTTCAGGAATAGCGCCCTCAAGTCAGTAATTTGGACATTTGTTATTTTAAAGAAAGCTCCTATCTCTGTCAGTGCTGACCAACATTACTTTTTTTTGGTTGTTGGCAAGTTGGAGTGCATGTTGATGTGTGCACGGCCTTGCTTTTATTCCGACTCTCTCCCTCCGTGGTCCCCGGAATCGCAGGATAGTTGCGCGGGAAAGTGGAGGGGAGCCCGTGTCTGCACCGGTACTAACCCACGCCTCGGCGCTGCCCGACCTTGGCTTCCTCCTCCCGCTGTCGTTGGACAGTCTGGTTGTCCTGCTTGTTGGAGGTCTCCTGGCGCTCAAGGAGCCTGCTGCTGATGGGTTTTCATTTCCATGTCAGAAACATAGGGCATTTTTATGAGACCGAACCCAATGACAGGGTGAAAAGGAAAGATTAAAAAGGAACAAACCTGAGAATTGAGCATTTTCTAATTTCTCCCAGGTAATCTGTCCCCAGTGGATCACCAGACGGAAGCCTTGTTCACCCATGTTGTATCACTTTGATGCCAAGTATTCTTGCTATCTGAACACCTTAATTACTAGCATGATCTTTTCCGTCCATTTGAAGTGTAATGTCAAGTTGTGTTTATGTCTATAGAAGTAGAAGCATTTAGCCCATCCCAGATGTCAGAGAAGATCCTTCTAAGGCTGCTAAAGCACCCCAATGTCATCCAGGAACTGAAGTATGATGAGAAGAACAAGAAAGCCCCAGAGTACTACCTCTACCAGCGCAACAGACCTGTAGACTACTTCGTTCTCATTCTTCAGGTCAGAGGAATTATTCAACAGTTGTTTGCTTCACTGAACACCCGCCTTTTCAGTCTGAGGAGGCCTGGTGGAGGTGAATGGGTGTCAAGGTGTCCTAACTTTTTGTTTAGGGGAGAATTTCATCTGTTTTCATGTCTGTAAAATAATCCTGCTGGAAAGCAGTGCCACTGTTACTTTAGTTTCCAGCACCGAAGGGCACTTGGTGATGGCCGAGGCTCCGTGCTGAATGAAGGATGGTGAATGTGGTTGTTGGTATTTTTTTGAAGAGTTTGGAAAAGTACCTGTGCCTGTCCAAATCCCAATGGGTGTTTGAAACTTATTGTCACGGCTTCCTTGGGAACCTCTCTTCTTTTTTCATCCCTCATGAGGACTTGGCCTTACATAGTGACCAAGCCATTAGCACCATCAAAATAATCCATTTATAGTTGTTTTTATCCTTAATATTAACTATAGACTCTGACAGAGGAACTGATGGAAGGAGGACAGCATCTCCAGGCAGTGGTAACTAGTTCCTCTCATTAGAACACCATCTACCACCCAAGGGGAAGGCCATCCATTCTGACCCCCCGTGGGGCTTGGGTGCTGGAGTTGACAGGAGGCCTTGTTACATCTCAGTGCGCAGCACACAGCCTGTGGCATGGAGACCAAGATGGATATCACAGTGAATAAAATCCCAGGTTTCATGACTTCTTGTACCTCTGTATTTTAAATTTTTAATTTCTTTTGGTACTGGGGATTGAACCCAAGGACACTTTACCACTGAGCTGACCCCTGGTCCTTTTTATTTTGAGACAGAGCCTCGCCTAGTTGATGAGGCTGGCCTGAATTTGTGATCCTCCTGCTTCAGCCTCCTGAGTTGCTGGGATTAAGGCGCCCAGTTTGTACCTCTTTGTTGGCGAGTCACTTTCTCAGGAAATCTGAGTTTTTCAATGCACGAATACTAGCACTTTAAGCTTTCTGATATTTCTTATTCCTTAGATATGAAGTGGAAGCATGATTATAAGAATATAATTAGTACTTGGTAGGACCTAAAATTTATACGAGTCCTGCAAGGCCCCAGCTTTCTGAATCAAAAAAAGGTCATTTTTACTTGAAAACAACTCTTCTCAGATGTGTAGGTGTCAGAAACTCTGCCAGGTGTTGTGTTCAGATATCCCTCATCTGGGCAGGATCATGGTGTCTGGGACCAGGAGGAAAGAGTAGAAAGACACTCTGGATTGCTGATTGCATGCCACTCTTAGCAGCTTCCGTCTCCAGGTTCATGAGTTCAGTATCTACTAACTTGAGCCTCTTTCATTCGCTCTTCTTTTATTCTGTATATTGTAAGCTCAAAGCTGAGGGCATGGGAGCGGGGATATTTCATTTATTTCACCTATTCCCTAAGCCTAGAGAACTGAGTTATAGTTAAATGTTGTTGTTTAAAAGAATTTTGAGGATTGATACTGTGAATTTCAGTAGTAACAAATAATGTGGCTTTCTGTTGTCTATTTTTGTGTAGTTAGCTTTTATTTAGTTGTGATTGGATAATGCTCTGTTGCTATAAAAGAAGTCCATGGGTCTTAAAATGTTATAGGAAAGGAACTTTATAATCCTTGTCTATTTATAAGCAAGTCTTTTAAATGTATTTTTTGATAAGGTGTTTATGTATAAGTACTAGTATTTGAATATCTCCTCCTGTTAAATATTTATGTAAGTTGATAGGTTTGTTGAACTGACAGTGTCATGGGGTGTTATAAATACTTTGATTACTTGATGAACAGGCCCGTGAAGGTATTTAATCTGTAGAGTTTAGCAGACTGACCAGTTACCTGGGGTACTCAGAAAATAACAGAGTATCCCTTTTGACTCAAGAAAAATGTCTTAAGTAATTGACATTGTGACTCTAATTGTACATAGAATCATCATTTTTTACTTTAAGCCCTAGATGAAATAAAGTGTAATTTAGTCAAAGAAAATGGTTTGAATAAACTTAATTAAAAGAATATATTGTAAATTACGTAATACAAAGTACTCCTACCACGCATATATAAAAAGGCTAAAACTTCAAGTTTTAAACAGAAATGTAGATTTTCAAGCTAAATTGTCAATATATGCCTTAAATAACCTAACAAAACCTATATGTAAATGTAGAAATGGCGAGGAACACAACTTTGGTGGAGATTTTTTTATATTAGAGCTTTATAGTTATATGTAGTCGTTGGGTCCATCCCAACAGACTCACACATGCATGGAAATTGATTTCAGCTCATGAGCTCCCCTTTTCCCTCCCTGTCCTCCCCCACTTCTCCTTCTCTACTAGACCTTTCTTTCACTTGCCTATTAATTTATATTTGATTGGTTCTTTGTTATCCTATCCTTTCCTCCTTCTTTATTTTACTCTAGCTTCTGCATATGAGAGAAAACATTTGATTTTTGATTTTCTGAGTTTGGCTTATTTCACTTAGCATGATGTTCTCCATTTCTATCTGTGTACCGGCAAATGCCACAATTTCATTATTTTTATAGCTGAGTAGAACTCTGTGTATGTATAGATAGATAGATAGGTAGAGAGATAGGATGATTTCTTTTTAATGTTTATTTTTTAGTTGTAGTTGGACACACAATACCTTTATTTCACTTATTTATTTTTATGTGGTGCTGAAGCTCGAACCCACGGTCTTGCACGTGCGAGGTGAGCGCTCTACTCCTGAGCCACAACCCCAGCCCCTGGGATGATTTCTTAATCCAGTCCTCCAGTGACAGGCACCTGGATTGATTCCATAATTTAGCTACTGTGAATCGTTGTACTATAAACGTTGATACGGTGGCTGTTATCGCTGTAGTATCCCAATTTTAGATCTTTGGGGAAAATACCAAGCCGAGTCTTATGGTGGTTCCATCCCTACTTTTTTGAGGCATCTCAGTAAAGTTGTTTTTCCACCATCATAAAAGAACAAGCATACCAAGAAAAGTTATATAGTAGTTTTAAATCGCATAACTAGTAAAAGAATAGATTTGAAGAAAATAAAACGAAAAAGCCAGAGAAATATATTGTAAAAATATTTGTGCACTCTTTCATAAAAATTGATCATTTACTGTGTCACAGTGTACACTCTAATAAATACAAAAACATAGGAATTTCATAAAACTTCTTTCATGGAGCATAATGAAATTAGGAATAAAAGCATAATCAAAAAGTAGTTATCCGTGTTAAAATTGTGATAAACTTTCTTATGTAGGTTTATATTTGAGGCACCGTGGGTGTGTATAACTTGTTCTTGTTTGTGTGAATGAAAAAAACCCTAGACTTTTCTTTCACACAAACATAAATATATGAAATTTCTTGAAAGGTGCTGGTTGTAATTGTCTCCTTTTGGGATAAGGCCTGGAGTGGGGAGTAGAGTTGAAGGGGGTGTTTCTCACTGTGGAGGTTGAGCTGTTTACTGTGGGCATGTGCTACCTATTTAAAAAGATAATTATTAAATATTAGAATTAATGGCAACTGAATTAGGGAGAAAATATATAGAATATCTTAAAATACATAGTATACCATAAAAGACTATTAAGTAATGTAATGCCATTTATTCAGTTTTAAGAAATTTTAAGTACTTAAATAAAAAACTACAATTATGTTGCAAAAAATAAACTAAAAGAACAAATTAAATAATAAAATATCATAAAAATAAACTAAAAAATAAAAGTGGGGGGGTCATGAGGGTAGGAAAGATGGTAGAATGAGAAGGACATTATTACTGTAGGTACATGGATGATTGCACAAATGGTGTCTCTATGTCGTGTACAACCAGAGAATTGAAATGTTGTGCTCCATTTGTGTAAGATTAATCGAAATGCATTCTGCTGTCATGTACAACTAAGTAGAACAAATAAAAATAAATAAATTAGTTAAAAAAAAAAAGAAACATTCCAATTTTCTCCTTGAGGAAAGCCCTCAGGGCATTATCATGCTTTAAAGACAATTAGATACTCTCCTTCCTCTCAAAACTTAAGCCCCCCCCCAAAAAAAAAAAAACTAAAAAATAAAACCTTATAACTGATAAATAAAATCAACATTTGGTTTTCCTATTTTTTTAAATGTTTTTAGTTGTTGATGGACCTTTGTTTTATTTATTTATATAACCTCACACATGCTAGGCATGCGCTCTATCACTGATCCACAACCCCAGCCCATTTTATTAGTAGTATTAATAATAAAGGGACTGGGAATTGAACCCATGGGTTCTTTACGACTGAGCTATATCTCTAGTCCTATCTATCTATCTATCTATTTATTTTTGTGGCGCTGGGAATTGAACCCAAGGCCTTGTGCATTCAAGGGAATCACTCTACCAACTGAGCTATATTTTTTATTTTGAGACAAGGTCTTGCTAAGTTGCTAAGGCTGGTCATGAACTTGTGATCCTTCTGCTTAGCCTTCCAAGTTGTTGGGATTGCAGGTGTGCACCACCCAAGATTTGGTTCTTTTAAAAGATAACCAAAACTGCAGGGCTGGGGATATACATTGGTGCTTGCCTCGCATGCTTGATTGATCGCCAGCACCAAAAAAAAGATTACCAAAACTGGGGCTGAAGATGCAGCTTAGTGGTAGAGCACTCGCCTGGTGTCAATGGGGCTCTGGGTTCAGTGCTACCAAAAGAGAAAATTAACAAAATCAATATTGTCTTTCATAATTAGTGTGATTAAAGATGAAAAAAGTTCTCGTTTCTGAAAAAAGCAGCTGGAATAAAGGATTTGATAGGGAAAAAAACATCAAACTTTGAAGAACTCAATGTTTCTGTATCATAGAACAAGATGATATGATAGTCAAATGCGTTCTTTATAATATGGGCTTAATTCTAAAACATAAGATTATGGTTCAGTGTCACTTTTTAACATTGATGTAGAATTTTTGAATAAAAAGATCATAGATAGTAACAATATACCCAAAGAGTTACTCATTGTGATGGTGACTGAATTGAGTTTATTTTAGAATGAAAGGTTAGTTTAATATAAAAACAACAAAA